CACGTCCGTGCATTCCTATAAGTTTATAGCCATTCCCCATTCATGTGGGGGATTGTAGGATTTTGTTGTTTAATAACAAAAGAAGTGTGAACGGAAAATGGTGGGAAAAGAAATGGAGGGAAGTGAAATTTTCAATGAGTTCACTAATGCACTTTGTCCCTCATTGGTAGAAGGAAAGAAAATCTTTGTGTATATAAAGAGAAGCTCATTTTTTAGCTCTTAAAGAGCTAAGAAGAAGGCAAGCCTCGCGCCGTCGTCGTCGTCACTCGCTCGGCTTCGGCTTCGGATTTGGATTTGGATTTGGATTTGTCAAAGATCGATTGATTGATTAATCTTTTTGGACAAAATTGTTTTCAAATATTTAATTAATTTATTAAATTAATTAAATTAAATTCAATCCGAAATAACCCATGACCCGCGACCCGGTCCGGTCCGGCCCGTTATTCTTTCCCGGATTATTTTAAATCCGTTTTATATTTCCCGCAATATTTTGAACAGCCATGGCTGTTCTGAAACATTGTCACACCTGTTCCAACAGCTATGGCTGTTCTAAAAGGTTGCAAACCTCTTCAGAAACAACACCAAGTTGGCTATAAATATACCTTCAAATCCCAGAATATGTACTTACGAAATTTTCTGAATCTTCTTCTTCTTCTGCACAAAAATTCCAGTGTGTTTTGAAGCCTTCGGGTGGTTCGCTGTTTATCGACGTTCTTGGTACCAACACTCCGGTGAGTTAAATCGTTCTATCCTTGGAGGTTATATTCCAGAACCTCGGGTACTTGAGGGGAATAATTTCCTTAAGAACACACTGTGTATTCAGTGGGCTCTATTTGTTCCTATACCGTTTTCAGAATTTATTTTGAAGAAGTTTACTGTTTTCGGAATTTAATTTCTACTAACTTTCTGTTTCTGTTTTCAGAAACATTATTATTTAATTTATTTACAGCAATACAGATATATAACAATCTTATGGAAATTATATTTATTATATTCTGTATTCTGTCTGAATTTTACTATTCTGATTTGAAGATATAAAAACTTCATCAGGGTATTGAAATTCAGAAAACGATTTGAAGAACATAAAAACTTTATCGTTTTTCTATAAACAGTATATAAAAACCTTAGTTGTTTTTATTACGTACTGTTTATTGATTACAGTATTATTTACTGTTTTGGTTTTGCCATTAATTGATTTCTTCTGTTGTTGACAGTAAGAAATGGCAAATGAAAATGGAAATCCTTCTGCGACTGTTGGTGCAACGACGATAGCCTCGTCAAGCCGCACTGCTGTTCCTCCGGCTGAGAAACCGGGGAAATTTTCCGGAACCAACTTCAAAGGATGGAAGAAAAGGGTGTTCTTCTGGCTTACCACACTTAGTATGCAGAAATTCACTAGTGAAGAGCCTCCAATGCCTGCTGCGGACATGCCGGACAATGAAAAGTTCATGGTTGTTGAGGCGTGGAAGCAGGCAGATTTTCTTTGCAAAGGCTATATCTTAAGTGCTTTAGAAGATGACTTGTACAATGTGTACAATGCAATGAATACTTCGAAAGAATTATGGGACGCACTTGAGAAGAAGTACAAGACAGAAGATGCATGCTTGAAGAAGTTCGTGGTTGCCAAGTTTCTAGACTATAAAATGATAGACAGCAAAACTGTGGGAACCCAAGTTCAGGAGCTTCAACTTATTTTTCACGACCTTATTGCTGAAGGTATGGTCGTGAATGAAGCATTTCAAGTGGCTGCTATGATTGAAAAATTGCCTCCTTCGTGGAGAGATTTCAAGAACTATCTTAAGCACAAGCGCAAAGAAATGAAGTTGGAAGATCTTGTGATACGTCTAAAGATCGAGGAAGACAACAAAACAGCCGAGAAGAAGTCTCGTGGAAATTCAACGATCATGGGAGCTAATATCGTTGAAGAGACTGCTCCAAAAAGTAAGAAGAGGAAGAGGTCTTCTGGACAAACTAAGGAGCAGAACAAAAAGAAATTCAAGGGCAGCTGCTACAATTGTGGAAAAGTTGGTCACAAAAGCCCTGATTGTCGTCTCCCGAAAAAGGATAATAAGAAAGGACAAGCCAACATAGTGGAGAAGAATAATGACATTGATGATCTTTGCGCAATGCTTTCGGAATGCAACCTAGTTGGAAATCCGAAGGAGTGGTGGATTGACTCTGGAGCCACTCGACATGTTTGTGCTGTCAAAGAAGCATTTGCGACTTACTCTACTGCTGGTCCCGAAGAAGAAATTTCCATGGGAAATAATGCAACAGCCAAGATTGAAGGTTATGGGAAGATATTCCTGAAGATGACTTCCGGCAAGGTGTTAACGCTCAACAACGTTCTTCATGTTCCTACTATTAGGAAGAATTTAGTTTCTACTTCTTTACTTGTAAAGAATGGATTCAAATGTGTATTTGTTTCTGATAAAGTTGTTGTAAGCAAGAACGAAATGTATGTTGGAAAAGGCTACCTCACGGAGGGCCTTTTCAAACTCAATGTAATGGTTGTTGACAGTATGAATAAAATTTCAGCTTCTTCTTATTTATTGGAGTCAAATGATTTATGGCATATTCGTTTAGGACATGTCAATTATAAAACCTTGCGGAAATTAATTAATTTAGAAGTATTGCCTAAATTCGAGTGTAATAAATCGAAATGTCAAATATGTGTTGAATCTAAGTTTGTAAAACATCCTTATAAGTCTGTTGAAAGGAATTCAAATCCTTTAGACTTAATTCATACTGACATTTGCGATATGAAGTCGACACCATCTCGAGGTGGGAAAAAGTATTTTATTACTTTTATTGACGATTGCACTAGATATTGTTATGTTTATTTGCTTAATAGTAAGGATGAAGCAATTGAAGCATTTAAGCAATACAAGAATGAGGTAGAAAATCAATTGAATAAAAAGATCAAAATGATTAGAAGTGATAGAGGTGGAGAATATGAATCTCCGTTTGCAGAAATATGTTCGGAATATGGAATTATCCATCAAACTACTGCACCTTACACACCTCAATCCAACGGAATTGCGGAAAGGAAAAATCGGACATTAAAAGAAATGATGAATTCTTTATTAATAAGTTCCGGATTACCGCAGAGTTTGTGGGGGGAAGCTATCCTTACAGCTAACCGAATACTCAACAGAGTACCCCACAGCAAAACGCAATCTATTCCATATGAAAAATGGAAAGGAAGAAAACCCAACTTGAAATATTTCAAAGTGTGGGGGTGTCTAGCAAAGGTACAGGTTCCTTTACCTAAAAGGGTTAAAATTGGACCAAAAACAGTAGATTGCGTTTTCATTGGATATGCTACAAATAGTAAAGCATGTCGATTTTTGGTTCATAAATCTGATAATCCCGAGATTCATGTTAATACGGTAATGGAATCAGATAATGCTGAATTCTTTGAAAGCATCTATCCGTATAAAACTGAAAGCGAGTCGTTAAGTGAAAAACCTAAACGACCTCGGGAAGAACCAAAGGAAAATACTCCAAGTATAGAAGATCCAAGGCGTAGCAAACGTCAAAGAACATCTACGTCCTTTGGACCAGATTTTGTGACATTCTTGCTTGAAAATGAGCCTCAAACTTTTAAAGCATCTATGTCGTCTTCTGATTCAGCATTGTGGAAAGAGGCAGTCAATAGTGAGATTCAATCAATTTTGGATAATCATACATGGGAATTGGTTGATCTTCCTCCAGGAAATAAGCCTTTAGGTTCGAAATGGATCTTTAAACGGAAAATTAAAGCTGATGGCACTATTGACAAATATAAGGCAAGACTTGTTGTCAAAGGTTATAAACAAAAGGAAGGCCTTGATTACTTTGACACTTACTCGCCAGTAACAAGGATAACATCTATTAGGGTGTTAGTGGCACTAGCGGCCGTGTATGGTCTTGAAATCCATCAAATGGATGTTAAAACAGCTTTCCTAAATGGAGAATTGGAGGAAGAAATTTACATGGAACAACCTGAGGGTTTTGTGGTTCCTGGTAAAGAAAAGAAAGTGTGCAAACTTGTTAAGTCGCTTTATGGACTTAAACAAGCACCCAAACAATGGCATGCAAAATTTGACCAAACAATGTTGGCAAATAGATTTAAAATCAACGAGTGTGACAAATGTGTTTACATTAAAAATACTCCAGGTCATGAAGTCATTGTTTGTTTATATGTTGATGACATGTTGATAATAAGCAAAAGTATGGCAGATATAAATGCTACAAAGCGCATGTTGGCTAGCAAATTTGACATGAAAGACTTAGGAGTTGCTGATGTGATCTTAGGAATCAGAATTCGCAAGACTCCACAAGGTCTAGCATTATCACAGTCTCACTACATTGAAAAGGTACTTGACAAGTTCAAGTATTTGGATTTCAAAATTGTCAAGACTCCAATTGACGTGAGTTATGCACTTCAAAAGAATGAAGATGAAAGTGACTCACAACTAGACTATGCAAGAGTATTGGGAAGTTTGATGTATATCATGAATTATACGCGACCAGATATAGCATGTGCTATTAGCAAACTGAGTCGGTTTACAAGTAATCCCAATCAAATATATTGGATGGCAATGAAACGAGTTTTGGGGTATCTGAAACATACCCAAAATTATGCTTTGCATTATAACAAATATCCTTCCGTGATCGAGGGATATAGTGATGCAAATTGGATCACCGGATCATCTGAAGTTAAATCCACAAGTGGATATGTTTTCACAATTGGGGGTGGAGCAGTGTCTTGGAAATCATCCAAACAAACGTGCATCGCCCGTTCTACAATGGAATCTGAATTCATAGCTTTAGATAAGGCTGGTGAAGAAGCTGAATGGCTCCGGATTTTCTTGGAAGATATTCCATTTTGGCTCAAACCTTTGGCACCTATATGTATACATTGTGATATTCAAGCGGCAATAGGTAGGGCAGGGAGCGTTATGTATAACGGTAAATCTCGTCATATTCGACGGAGACACAATACCGTTAGACAACTACTCTCTAATAAAGTGGCAATCAATTTCTATGTGCTTTGTACGCTCATGATACATTGGATTAGATGCAATTTGTAAGGCTGCTTTGTTGTCACAATGAAGCTCCATAGGTAAGTCAACCTTCATTCCCAATTCTTCTAACAACCCATGCACCCACACTAACTCAGCCACAATAGTGGCCATACTTCTATACTCATCCTCTGCTGAACTCCTTGACACAGTACTCTGTTTCTTGATTTCCATGAGATAATGGAATCTTCCAGTTTTATGCAATATCCTGTAATTGACTTCCTGGTCATTGAGCAAGATGCCCAATATGCATTACAAAATGCATTCACTTTTCCACTAGCTTTGCTACTCATTAACAGTCCCTGTCCCGGTGAACCTTTCACATATTTTACTACCCTTAAAGCTGCTTCATAGTGAGATTGTTTTGGAGCATTCATAAACTGACTCAGAACCTGAACTGCAAAAGATATGTCAGGTCTTGTGATTGCCAGGCATAAGAGCCTCCCATTAACCTCTGATATACTCTTCTATCCTCCAGATCTTCATCAGTTGTCTCCACAATGTTTATCATATTCTAAACTGGTGAGTTTCAAGTTCTGATCCAGAGGTGAATCAGTTGGCTTTGCTGTTCCAAATCCACATTCTAATACAAGCTCCGGTGCATATTTCCTTTGGTTCATAAGGATTCCTGCTTGACCTTGCAAACTCAATTTCTAAAAAGAATCTCAACTCTCCCAAGTCCTTCATTTTGAAGTTTTCATTCAAAATAGTTTTGGCCTCTTGAATTATCTCCTGGTCACTCCCTGTAATTAACAAATCATCAACATAAACCAGGATAATAACTATGTCATTGTTCTGTCTTTTGGTGATTAGAGAGTAGTCCAGCTTGCTTTGTGTGAAGCCAGAATGTATAAGAGCTGATGTGAGCTTCAATTTCATTGTCTACTAGCCTGTTTAAGACCATAGAGGGATTTGAGGAGTCTGCACACTTTAGTCTCCCCCTGACTACCAAATCCCTGAGGCAAAGACATGTAGACCTCTTCAGAGAGATCCCCTTGGAGGAAGGCATTGTAGACATCCATCTAGAATAAAGGCCGATTATGTAGAGCTGCAATAGCCACAACACTTCCGACAGTGACCATCTTAACCACTGGAGAAAATGTCTCATGATAATCAAGACCCTCTTGTTGAGTGAACCCCTTTGCAACAAGTCTTGCCTTAAACCTTTCCACAGTCCCATCAGCTTTATACTTCACCTTAAAGACCCACTTACACCCAATGGGAGTTTTGCCTGCGGGCAGATCCACTAATTCCCAGGTGTGATTTTCAATGAGAGCCTGAAGTTCAAGGTTCATAGCCTGAACCCATTTACTATCACTAACATCCTGCTCAAAGGAGTGTGGCTCAACAATAGAAGAGAAGGCAGTAAGACACGCCCTATAAGAGGGAGATAAGGCAGAATAACAAAGGGACGCAGATAAAGGATAAGGAATATGAGAAGACTTAGTGCCAGAAACATAATCTGTAAGCCAAATAAGAGGCTTAGAAGTTCTAAGGGATCTTCTAAGACCAGTAGGTAAGGAAGAGGAAGGATGAGGCAAATGACATGGAGAGGGTTGAGAAGGAGAAGTAACAGGAGTAGAAGTAAGAGAGGAGAAGCAGGATTAGAATTAGAAGGGATAACAGATGTGGAAGATGAAGGAGGAGAGACTTCAGGAGTTGAGGGTGAAGGAATATCTGAGCTTGGCATGGGAATGGTAGGAAAAATGTCATCAATAGGTGGAATGGCAGATTTAGAAGGAAAGAGATGAGTGGAATCAAGAGTAGGATAACATAGAAAAGTGGATTTAGGATGTTTGAAAGGAAACACATTTTCCCTAAAAGATACATCCACAAAGAAAGTGCCAGTGGAGATGTTAAATAGCTTGTAACCTTTTTGAGTTTCTGAGTATCCCATGAAGATGGCAGGAATAGCTCTAGAAGCAAATTTGTCAAGGAGATGGGGAGTGGTTGCATAACACAGACAACCAAATACTTTGATGTGAATAAGAGAGGGTGAATACCCATGAAACAGCTCAAAAGGTAATTTCCCTGAAAGCACTGAAGATGGCAGCCTATTAATAAGGAAAGTTGCTGTGAGAACACATTCCCCCCAAAAATTTAAAGGTGCATGAGCTTGAAATCTAAGAGCTCTACCCATTTCAAGTAAATGTCTATGTTTTCTTTCAGCCACTTCATTTTGTTGTGGAGTGTGTACACAAGAACTCTGATGGACAATTTCAAGAGAAGTAAAGCGTGTGGAAACTTGTGAATTAAAAAATTCAAGGCCATTATCAGTTCTGATGACTTTAATAGTGGTAGAAAATTGTGTTTTAGCTAAGGTGAGAATGGATTTGATCAAAAGAAAGGCATCACTTTTCATTCTCATCAAATAAATCCATGTCATTCTAGAGTAATCATCCACAATAGTAAGAAAGTATCTATATTCATTGTAAGTACATTGTCTATATGGACCCTACACATCCATATGTACAATTTCAAAAGGAGATACAGTTTTCTTGACACTATTAGGAAATGGAAATCTAGTTTGCCTGGCTAAAGGACAAACGGTACAAGACATAGTGTCATTATTCAACAATTGATTCTTTAAGGAATGTATTTTTTGTATGACTGTTATTGGTGTATGTCCAAGTCTTTGATGCCATATATTGCAATGACTGGATTCCAGTGATGAGGAGTGAGATAAGTTTGAAACTGATGTGTGAAGAGCTGGAGTAGAACTTGTAACTGGAGTAGGTGTACTGAGTACTGAAAGGGAAGACTGCTCAGGTCCTTTGACTGGTAATGGCTTCTTGGTAGGTTGAAGTATGTAAAGACCATCCTTCTCCTTACCAATCCCCCTCACCTTGGCAGTGCAAAGGTCCTGAAAGATGCAAAACTCAGGGAAGAATAAAGCACAACACTTCAATTCCTTGGTGAGTTTAGAGACTGATATCAGATTATATTGAAAGTTTGGAACATGTAACACATTATACAATGACATATATTTGGTAATGTCAAGGATCCTGTGTGTGTTACTGAAGTTGTGTGCCCATTAGGTAGGTGCACTTTGTTGAAATAAGATTTAACAGGAGTGGGTTCAGTTAAAAGGTTCATACTAGAAACCATATGGTTTGAGGCTCCAGTGTCAATCACCCAAGAATTAGGTTCAGAACCTGCAAGCAAACAAGTATTAAGAAGTTCTTTTATACCTGCCATATTAGCTCTTGCCTCTGCAACATTTGGCTCTTGTTTGATCAGCTTCAAAAGTTGTTGATATTGATCTGCAGTGAACATTGGCAAAGCACTATGAGTTGGTGTATTACTAGCTTCTGGTTCTTCCATAAAGTTAGCATTATTTGCTGATGCTCCCCTGTAATTCCCTGAACCTTGTGACCTGTCAAAGCCCTTTCTTCTGTTAAATATGACCTGGGGGATATCCAACCAACTTGTAACAATTCTCCTTCAGATGCCCCTTCAAATGACAATAATCACAGTACATCCCATTATTCTTCTTGAACTTATTGTTCTGAGTGAAAGTAAAGGCTGTTGGATCAGTCATATTCATCTGCTGCAATCCCGGGCTGAGTCGTGAAATCATACTAGACTGTGTTCTTTGGCTCTCATCTTGCATAATCATGTTGTAAGCTTGATTAAGTGTTGGCACTGGTAGAGTCAACAATACTTGACTCCTTGCTTGTGCATAAGCTTCATTTAATCCCATCAGAAACTGTACTAGCTTCTGTTGCTCCATATGTTCTGTATACTTCTTGTGCTTCTCACAATCACAAGGAAGTGACACCATTGACCAATACTCATCCCAAGCATTTTTCAGTTTTGAAAAATATTCTGAAATTGAAGCAGTCCCTTGGCTCATGGTGAAAATTTCACGTAACAATTGATACACCCTAGTCAGATTCTTTTTATCAAAATGCTCTTTCAAATTTACCCAGACATTGTGTGCATTGGTTGAGTACATTAATCCATTTGCAAGATCTTTCGACACAGAATTAGTAATCCAGGATAGCACAAATGCATTACATCTTTCCCATTCATGCTCTAAGTCACATTTGTAATGCTCTTTGAGACACTTGCCATCTATAAACCCTAATTTATTTTTCGCCAACAGTTCGACTCTCATTGAATTACTCCATGCGATGTAGTTTTTAATTCCAGTTAATTGTTGCGGAATTAAGATACTACCTGGTGTGTCTGATGGATGTAGGTAGAGAGAATGACGAGGATGAATGTCGGCGAATTTCTCCGAATTGCTTTTCTCCAGATCTGTGATTCCTTGCATCATTTTCGAACTGAATTTCTCAGCAATAGACACGATTGAAATGAGGAACCTTGTGTATCAGTAAGATTTGCAGTGAGAATGGCCGCAATTGCTGGCAATTGGATCGATTACTGAAAATTGGAAAAAACTATGGTTTGCTCGAAATTGATTCTCTCAAATCTTCGATCTTCAACTAAATTGTAGTAGAACACTACTAGCTCCTCCATTTCTCAGATTCTCAACTCAAAAACGCCATGGATTCATTGCTCCGATACCATATTGAAAGAGAGGCTAATTCTGAGTTTACAAGGAGAGGAGAGCAATCGCAGATAGAGAGAGAAAGAACTACACTGTATATTGAAGAAATGAAGTAGTTAGTTATTACACTTGTACCCCTCAACTATATATAATACTACTCATATGCCTTAACCAATACAATTATTTAACTAGTCTATTGATTCTCTTTACAACTGTCACTGTACAATTACAATTGGCTATGTACAACATCTATTGCTATGACTAATTTCTACAGTATAATTTTTGTGTATAGATATAAATTGACCGGTGTCTGAAAATAGAAGTTGTCTGTTTTCTGCCCCTTTCACTTTCTTCTGGAAGAAGTACGTCAAGTGTAGTTGAAAAAGAAAGACATAGATGCAAATGATAAATAGGCGACTAGGCGTAGATGACAAAAAATTAGTGAAAACAAAGAAACATATTCTATAGTTTTTATTTTCATTTCCTTTGAAATTTTTTATAACGTAATTATGTTTGTTCATTCACCCTTGCTTTCTAGTAAAGAAACGCTTAGAAAACGAATTAAGGAGCAGTTCTTTTCAGGTTTCTAATTAAACATTCTCCCTTTTAACACTGAAACGTGAAAAATAGACATGATGAGTAAACTACAAGTCCTACTTATTAACACTTGATTAGCGGAACATCAAGTACTAAGTATCAAATACCCAATTAACTGTAAAAATAGTACGGGCTAGTCAGTTTTTGGACTGATCATTTAGAAATAGCCAGCGTTTGCAAAGTCATTAAAAAATAGCCACTATTTTGCTGCAACACGGAAAGTTCCAACATAATATATTAGAGATCGGTGCACCTGTGTATGAACTTCCAGCATATTATGCTGGAACTCCAACACGCGGAAAGTTCCAGTATGTTATACTGGTGCTCCAATCTCCAGTATATTATGCTGGACCGGTATATTATACTGGAACTCCAGTATATTATACTGGAGTATTTTTCCGGATTTTGAACAGTGTTTTCGTTCAGATTTATCTTTACATGAAGTGGCTAAATTTCGATTACTTTTGAAACTTGGCTATTTTTGAATGACCACTTGTAAATCTAACTATTTTGAATTTTTCCCCAATTAACTACATGTAATGAGCCAATCAACCTTCCATCCGAATCCTACCGAGTTTACACATATTAAATAGATTTCTTAAAATAAATGCAGAGTTTTAATCAAAATTATTGAATTTGTCTGAACTCTACCTTAAAGGCTTAAACTCTAGCTCTGCCCCTGACTTAGAAACAATTGATCTTCAAGATTAGGGTGATTAATCAACCATCATTAAGGCCATTCTTTTGTGTTTTAAATCATGGTGGA